CAAGGGAAGGGCGGGGTATAAATCCAATCTCTTCTTCTTCTTCTTCTTCTTCTTTTTCAAATACATTGGAAAGGGAGCTAGAGTTCAGACTTATAGACCGAGGCTGGACAGCAAATTAACAGGTAACACCATGAAGCTGTTTTAAAGATATGCAAAGACAAAAGCTAAGTAACAAGCTAAGATTCTAAGGTCAACAGTTGTTTTGATTTAATTAAGGGGGGGGAACTTGGCTTGACAGCAGCACATGTGAAAGGGACCTGGGTGTTCTGGTTGATCACAAGCGAAACATGAGCCTGCAGTGCGATGTGACTGCGAAGAAAGCGAATGCAATCTTAGGATGCATTAACAGAAGCATTGTGTCCAGATCACGAGAGGTGGTCGTTCCGCTCTTTTCTGCTATGGTCAGGCCTCACCTGGAGTCCTGTGTCCACTTTTGGGCACCACATTTTAGGAAGGATGTTGACAAGCTTGAGCGTGTCCTGAAGAGTTGGGTATGTTCAGCCTGGGAAAGAGAAGGCTTAGAGGGGACATGATCGCAGTCTTCAAGCATTTGAAGGACTGTCATGTAGAAGACGGAGTGGATCTATTCTCTCTTGCTCCGGATTGCAAGACCAGATCTAATGGGTGGGAATGACAAAGGAGTCGTTCCCGGCTAAAGATCAGGAGAAACTTCCTAACTGTAAGAGTGGTTGGGCAGTGGAACAGACTGGCTCGGGAGGTGGTGGAGGCTCCTTGGCTGGACGTTTCGAAGCGGAGGCTGGACAGCCATCTCTCGGGTGTGTTGTAGTGCAGGGGCTTGGACTAGATGACCTGTAAGGTCCCTTCCAACTCTAACATCCTATGATTCTATGAAAGGACAGCAAAGCAATAAACATGTCAAAATAGGGGATAATTCTGTAAAGGCATTTTTTTCTAATTGTGGGAAGTAAATGGAGACTCACCATTCATCTCCTCTCACTCTTTGTGTGAAGAAGTACTTCCTTTTATCTGTTCTAACCCGACTGCTCCTTAATTTCATGGAGTGCCCACGAGTTCTTGTCCTGTGAGAAAGGGAGGAAAGGTCTTCTTTCTCTACCTGCTCTCTCCCATGCATAATTTTGTAAACCTCAATCATGTCACCCCTCAGCCGTCGTTTCAAACATCCTCTCTTCCTCCATCCTCTCATTCCCCCTCTGATCTCCCCAAAGTTTCTATGAAACTCACTCTAGTAACCATCAGGACACATTTTAGAAGAGCAGAAGAGAAGAGATTGGAAGAGAAGAGACCCAAAGGTGTCTCAGAGCGGCTTACGAACTCCTTTCCCTTCCCCTCCCCACAACAGACACCCTGCGAGGTCGGTGGGGCTGAGAGAGCTCTGACAGAAACTGCTCTTTTTCAAGAACAGCTCTGACAGAACTATGGCTTGCCCAAGGTCATCCAGCAGGTGCAAATGGAGGAGTGGGGAATCAAACCCGGTTGTCCCAGATGAGAGTCCGCGCATTTAGAAGAAGAAGAGATTGGATTTATACCCTGCCCTTCACTACCCAAAGGAGTCTCAGAGCGGCTTACAAACTCCTTTCCCTTCCCCTCCCCACAACAGAAGAAGAAGAAGAAGAAGAAGAAGAAGAAGAAGAAGAAGAAGAAGAAGAAGAAGAAGAAGAGATTGGATTTATACCTCGCCCTTCACTTGGAGTCTCAGAGCGGCTTACAAACTCCCTTCCCCTCCCCACAACAGACACCCTGTGAGGC